AAACACGCTGTATGTGAATCAAGCTTAATAAAACTTTTGTAAAATGAGCAATGAATTACGGAACACGTCTGCCTTGTGCATACTAAACCAAGGGTTCGACACAAATCAAACATAAGCTTGTCATCATTTGTATCCGGAAACGGAATCATGTTCAAAAAATTCTGAAATCAAGGACTTACTTTGATGGATCGACAATAAGAAAATGTATGAATAGCAAAAAGGAAAATATTAGTTTTTGGTGTACCTTACTTAAAGTTAGAAAGATATTATAATGCTATGTAATTCTGGTTAAGTATATGAAAAGAATTTATTGGTTCTATTACAATAGAAAAGGAGATTATATCAATTGTACTGAATGTTTTTTGTGCAAATGTATCTGCATTATCTTCGACCGCTGTGGACTGGTTACGATTATTATTATTCGATTGTCTGTCTAGCCATCTGTCACCATAGTTGATTTCCTCTGAAACTACTGAGCCGATTGAGTTGAAATTTCGTATAGATATATGTAAATGCGTGACCCAAAGGCGGTCGTGCAACGAAAATAAATGCCTTTTAAACATGGTGGCACCTTATGGTGGCTAAATTGGTAACTGAGTAAAGTTTCGCAAATTAAATTATGTGATATTATCTAATGATATGACTTTTCTGTGAGACTTCCAAATTTATTTGTTTGTATGATATTGGAATAAACGCTTTCTAAAGATATAAAGATATTTAAGAAAATAAGTGAACATTAACGTTTCTCCCCAGATTTCCAGAACTGCTGTGCTTAAAATAGTTATTCACTTATGAATTACAGAAAATCTTAATAGTAATAAAAAACGTAATAAAAACATTAACAATGTGGAATCCTATGCGCGCGAATCCGACTCTTGGTCTGAACAATAACAGCGGATATTATAGGGTTGTTGGTCGCATCGACGATACCTTTCAAGTTGAACTTCCATCTATAGGGTACCGGAACGCGGGACATTTGAAGGGCACTTATAATCAATACACACACGGAATTTCCGATCAAGCAGTCGGAAATAGCGTGACTTGTTAAATAATAGATACTGACAAAGCGCCTAAATCAATAAACTACCGATAAGAATGAAGTACCTTTTCTATTCGCCGAGGCAATGCTAGAATCATATTCCCTTCCACGACTAATTTGTTCGAGTATATCTACGTTTATTTGAACGAATTAACATGACACTTGAGGGCCAATTATATTCTATTTGTGTTCCCAGCAGTGAGGGCATTAACAGGATGATCATAAAATATATCTATCTCAGTTTAACATTGATCTAAAGACAGAATTTAAATTTGGTCTTGATTTTATTAGACAGTAAAATATTTAATTAAAAATGAAGTGTTCAAAGTAAATTAAATTTTACAAATTTATTTAAATATAAAATTTTAGATAAGTTTATACAATGTCGTCTTTAAAAACTTTCTCATTGGCCGGAGATAAATACTTGTATGAAGAAAAATTAAAACAAATTTCTAATAACAAAACGAATATCGTGTAAATAACAAAAGTCCGTTAAATATTTGTATTCGATGATAAACGATTTAGGCGATGAGGGTTGCGCCCGAACTATGACTTATTGCCCATATGGGTTCTACGTAAGATTTTCTCAGGGAGATCTTGACGGTTTTTATACTTATCTTCAATATTAATGTTATTCTTCCTTTGTTTTACAAGATTTTATCTAACTTGCAGTGTATGTACAAAAACGGACACAAAAGTAATAAGACTCAAAAAGCTTAAAATAGTGGAATAGATAAGTGGCCAATACTTAAATACAATATTTTTTAACATATTCAAGAAACTTCTATAAGAGTCAAGTGATTGATGTTAACAAATCTCACAAAAGTTCCGTTTTTGGATTCAGTTTAGATGACAATTCATGGTAAGGTTAATCACGTCGTTTTAATTTAAAATGGCCGACGGTACAAGATGGCCTCATCATTTTTGGTATTATTTTTGGTTTGGTATTGTAATAATATGGCTATCAAATGAAAAAGTTTGCTTAGAAAGAGACGAAAATATTTTTAAAATTCACTTTCTTCCTAATTTTATAATAGAGGGCCATCAAAGATGGTGGATAAGTTATGTTTTAAGCACTTACATAAATGAGTATTAAATATGTTTGTTATAAGTGGACTTCAAATATTACTACATTAAAATAAAAATGCTGCAGCTCGTTATTTAAAAAAATATCCATAAAATGGGGACATTAGGGACTAGCGTTAGGGACCATAATAAACTGATAATTACATCTGCTAGTCAAATACTACATCTATCCTCAACCCGAATACCGGAAGCCAATAAAGATTAAGCACCGTCATGTAATTAGACAAGGAAATAGAACTTAGTACAATTTTCCTCTCCCCAAACTACTCATTGCCATTCCACAACGTTCTTATCGTTGGAAAAACATGGAAAAAACGACAGAAGTGGTGTCACGGAAGCCATTACTTCAGTCTAGGTAGGTTATTTTACGCCTATTGAACCATCAATTACTAGCGGTAATTTGAATTAACAAGTGATTGAGTGATACGGCATCGTAAAAGTCATGGCCAATGACCGTGAATACTTTCCATGGAGATCGGGAGTAATTTGATTGAGGAGCTCGATATTGCATTATTTAGCACGTTCGGTTGTCAAGCAACTTTACGAGCAAAGGATGGGTGACCAAAAAAATTTTTATCTCGAACTCCTCCGTGAGTCAAATTGACGCCTTTTCTAAGGATCTCAAATATTAAAATTACCTATTTATTTTCGTTTATGGATATTGCAGTTTAAGTTATAAAATATATATAGACTTAACTTGACTATAGTTACCAGGAAGCCTACTCTAATTCACCGAAAAACGAAATATCGTTCGAAATTTCGGACGTTTGCTATCACAATTACGTTCTTTCCGAATATTCAACGAACGAAAATGTTTGACATATTTATTTTCTAAATCTACTATATTTCACGAAATGGCGAAACGAACATTTGAGTTTGACATCTAATTGTTCGGAATTCTTACCTCAAATTGACGAAGCAAAAAATGTTACCTTTTCATTTTCGTTAGCAATTTTTTATTTTCGAAATGGGGACTATATTACTATTAATCGAGTCAGCTCTCAGTAAAGAACGATTAGACCGTAGAAGAAATCGGCGGCGGCTTCGAAATAGCCTTAATATAAGAAATATTCTCGACACTGAGTTTGTAAGTAATTACAGACTCAGTTGTGAATTATTTCAAGAACTATGCCAGGAGATTATACCTTAACTGCGTCCACAGGCAAGCAAGATCTCATGCCATCGAGTCCACAATTAAAGTTGGAAGATATTTTATCGTAGTTCTTGATAAAAAAAATTGCATGCCTACCATTATGCATTTCATATTTTTATGATTCTTACAGCGTTGAATTTTTATGCCCGAGTTAGTTACCAAGGATTCGTATCTCAAAACATGGATGGGCCTATGGCCCAACAAACAGTTTCACGGTGTTGGGAGGTTAGGAGTATCCTCAATTCACCAGATAGGTCTTATAAGAAAATATATTATTCCCTCAAACAATTAAGAGACAGTGAGTACCTAATAGTTTATTGTTTATTTTGGCTTTATGTATGAATTGTGAATAAATACCTATAGAATTATGTCATTAATATTACAGATTTTACGAGGCATATAGGCTATGCCATTATACCTGAAAAATATGACTGATAAAAAGTAAATTTATTACTAAAAACCTTTTTTTGTACCGAAAAACTAAATATTAGTTTCATACTTACTTATAAAGTTTTTTACTGAATTGTCAAGATAAATTTCGGAACTCACAATAATTAAATAAAATATTAGTAAACACTGAACAGTTTGGTGAAAACTTGTTAAACTTTTGGCGGGATGAGAATCGTTTGTATTATACGGATATTTAAGATTGCCATACGTTGATTATAGCCCTCGTATAAATGAAAGGTTGTTTTTAAATATGTCGGTTAATACTGTGGATAAAAGAGTTCTTTATAGTGTCTTGATCAGTTGTAACGAAAAATAAAATTCATTAATATACTAAGTTTTTCGTTATATTATTATAATATTTTATGTTTAAACAATGTTTAGCCACTATTTTTTTTTTAAAGAAATATATGTATTGTTTAATATTATATATTTCAAGTTACGGTAAAAACCGGAATTTAACATTATAAGAAATCCGATAACGCCATTCACTCCAATCGATCACGAAAATTGTTTTTGGAATCGAACATTCGTTGGTGTATACGAAAATGATAAAGAGTAGCGTTACATGTGAAATTTCGTTTTAATTTCGTTCGTAAACGAAATTTCGTTGTCGAGAAAGCGAGTAGGCCTCTAGAGCTTCGGAACAGCTAAGTTTTAATTTTGAGAAACAAGCAAAAAAATTACGTTTCTTGTAAGGGAGCCCCTTTAAATATTTATTTTATTCTGGTTTTTAGAAATACATCATCTGTGTAAATTTCAACTGTCTAACTTTCACAGACAGACAATGAAGTCTTAGTAATAGGCTCGTTTTACCCTTGGGTACGAAAACCTAAAAAAAAAGCAAAATATGGAAAGTAATTCAATATTTATAAATTACAGGAAAATCTATGGTTTTTAAAACTTAATATTTGTGCAGAACCCTCCAGGCGGGATTGTGTTTCGCTTACAATTATTTATTATTTCCGAAGATCATATGAGAAGAAAGTGTCATCTATCGACGATTTGATAATTTACAAGATACTTGCAGTGTATAGCACGCATTTTTCTTTATTTATTGAAGCGCGTGGTTCCAACGTAGTTTTCGCAATTTACACTAGATGTCACTGTTATCGCACTAGTCTGCAATCCACATTGTAGACTGTACACATTACATTCAGAATTCATTTTTGACCGATGTTTAATGATTATTTAAAATCATGAACATAACCACATTTTATAACGATCTGAAAAACTTAACATTTTATCTACTTATTCGGAGAATACTGCACTTACCAAGTATTGCACGCAAATGACCCTCAAGAGTCTGCAGAATGGTCATCTTGATCTCCTTGACGGTCTTGCCGAGGAACTGCTCGCAGGCTGTGGTAAGCAGTTCGTCTTCATTCATGATCTTGCACTGAGCCACCCCGGTCACCGTTAGTGGAACTCCTTGGGCTGTCTCTACGTACTCACACATAGGGTTCAGTGTCATAACCTGGAATTAACAAACAACGCATAATATAATCTTTAATAATAATAATCTTTTTGGTCATTCATGCAGTAGGATTGCGTTCATTTTAGTACAAAATAGTTTTCATAAACAAACATAATTGTCAATCTATCGTTACAGTTTCATTTTACTGTCAATAGATGGCTCTAGTGATCTAACTTCAAGATTTTATATTTAGTGTCGGATCCTAAATGCAGCAGAAACTTAATTAGTAAGTCTCTAATTTTTTGGGATAGATTTGCTAAGACTGGTACCGAAATATTATGAAGCGAACCTTGTGTAGTTGCTATGGTTTGCAACTTTGAGCTCCCGAAATCTGCATCTAGTGCTGAAATGCATCGCGCGAGTGTTCGAAATTTATAGCTTCCGATGTGAAACGCGGTCTGTACCGTTTTTTTTTCTTAAACTAAAATACAGATAAAATACAATACCTAGTTTCTATAGAGATATTTTCAGACAATAAGAAGTACACGAATGGACGATGACGGAAATTGTCGAAAATGTGTTTCGTACTGATACGAGTATTCCTTACTTGCCTTCCTCCAACATACTCTGACGTCTGTCAAGCGTACGATAAACATAATTTCTTTATAAAAATATAGCTGCGCAATGCCCTGTAGAACATTGTATTAATGCGTATACTCTGAACATCAGCGTTGTTACGATTACGATATGTTGGAACTATCCCTATTTTTGATTCACTCGTATATAATCTTGTAACCGACTATGACTTTTAGTCGATTTCTTAAACGCATGACACCGATTTTATGTATTTTTTTTATAGTTCTTCTCGCTTCTATCAACAAAGCAAAATGTTAAATTTAAATTTATTTCTCGCAGAAATTTAAAAAAAAAAATAATTGCAAATATTTGAATGAATGGAAAGTGTAATTTTTTGTAAAAAAAATTAAAAGTAATTGTTTCAAACTATCTCTTGGGCTTTATATTTAATACTAGCTGTTATTCGGTGACTTCGGTCGAAAATTGTAGCCTATGCTACCCGCGACACACGAAAGGTATAGTTTGCCGTAGGTGTACGAATTTTTAAAATCAGTCCCGTAGTTTCGGGGCCTATTCAATGCAAACAAACAAACCTATCTTCCCTCTTTATAATATTAGTATAGATAAATCGAATATAGTCAAAAATATTTAAAGAAACATCTACTATTTGCTTCGTCGTCATTCGTCTATGCGAGCGATTGATACTACTCGTTGCAGTCTGGGGAAAAAAAGATAGCGAGTTTCTTATTTAGAATGTAAATTAGCAGTACGGCACGCGATTCGAACGATTCAAAAATAAAACCCAGGGTCTGTTCATATCTGACGTAAAATGCGTCATACAGTTATACTAGTACAGACATCAGTCTCTCGCATAGATTATAAAATTGTTCTACTTAGTTTTTAAAGAGGTTACTTACTATACTGTGATATCTGTGCGAGAGAACAAATAAAGTTTATTATTAGATATTATTATTATTATTATCGCTGGCGTTACGTTAGAGGTATAACAAGTAAAAAAATCAAGATACTTTTTCTAAAACTGTTAATTTTTCTGTGAAGGTAAATAGTTTTTTTTAATACAGTTTGGTATATGTTCGACAACAAACCTCTAAGGAGATACGTTGGACGTCAGTGACCAGCCACCATGCGAATGCCCATCCACCAACTATGGTTCGTTTCTGCATTGATCCACAGCACCCGCCTGTCGACAATTAAAAAAAAAATCAAATCGATATACATGTAGGTACAAGTAAATTCAACTAATGAGACGCATCGTGAATCCTCGTTTGTGTAAATATCTATTAATTGCGACGATGGCTGAATGTACAATTTAAAAATCCGATCAAGTGCGAATTCAACTCGCGCACGAAGGGTTCCGTACTATAATATGATTTTTCTATGGGCGTACATACGACAATCGTATAAACTTAAAACGACCCTTATATTTATATTATTCCTCTTTTATTTGTTGTTATAACGGCAACAGAAATACATCATCTGTGAAATTTTAACTGTATAGTTATCACGATATGAGATACCTGGTGACAGACAGACGGACAGCGAAGTCTTAGTAATAACCTTATATATAAAATAGCGGGCACAGGTACAGGTCTTCCCTATGAATGACCACCTCGCCATCGAGCTCCTCAAGCCAAACAAACTTATTAAATACAATTTAACTCCAGATTTTAACCTTATGGCAAATATTTTATGAAGAATGCATCTCAGCGATTAAAAACTTTATTGACATAACATTACAACTTCAATTAGATTGCAGGTAGATAAGAGCAATCACCTCGAGGGAGAGCAGTGAGTCACAATCACACAACAGGTTTGGTTTAGAATTACATTTATTACGTGGACTGTCGGTATTCCTGTCACTTTCTACAAGGAAGTGATGTGTTTCTCTTCATAGGAGTAAGCAGGACAGGTAGCTTGCCAACATTTTATTATAATACTAGTGGCCGCCAGCGACTTCTTCCGCGTTTTTCATCATTTCTTCGCTTCTAATAGTCGCAGCGTGATGTTATATAGCCTAAAGCCTTCCTCGATAAATGGTCTATTCAAGACAAACGAGAATTTTTCAATTCGATCCAGTAGTTTGTGAGATAAGCGCGTTCAAACAAAGAAACAAACTCTTCAGCTTTATAATATTATTAGTATAGTTGCGCAATTGAAAAAGTATCAATTCACTCTTTCAAGTTAAGATAAACTTTGGGTACCTATCATGTCTGTGTTAAATGATGATTTAGTATACGTATTTAATGACGTATGTTTCTCTTTGTCAACGGTTTTTAATATAGAAATGGCTTATTTTTAAACTGGTTTTGTGAAAAAAAATAGTCTTATTATGTTAAATGTCGTCTTATTATGTTTAATGTCGTCTTATTATGTTTAATGTCGTCTTATTATGTTTAATGTCGTCTTATTATGTTAAATGTCGTCTCATTTTCACTTGTCTTTGCGCTCAACCTCTAATCTGTGTTCTACACAGTGTCAATGACGATTACTATGGATGGGTGTTGGGTGGAGCCGCTAGAATGGCCTTTTCAGGGTATCGCCATTTCTCTGACGGGTCAGACCTTAGGACCTCAGAGAAGAAGAGAAACGATAATGAAGAAGATAAAACATAGGAAAACTTTTCTACATTGTCTCGAGTTTGGGTGTTACGGTATGGTACACCGAAATTTACTCAATTGATTAAATATCTATTGGGCTTGCGTGCTATATACTGTTGGAGAAATACGCAAAGACACTATATTTTTAAAATCAAAATCTAAGAAATAATTTTATGTTTATGAAAGCACCTAATACATCTTGACAAATAGGTCGTGTTATGTACTCGTAAATATCGTAATTTATGTTAAGAGCTGGTAAGTTTCTTCTCTCATTATTCTTGTCAGAATAAAGACATCATGAACAGGTAGTACGAAAAAGTGCTGTCAATGCGAGTTGAATGAAAACAAAATAATTTCATAGAGTCTAAGTCTATATATAAGCTAATGCAATTGACTTAATCTTCGGTTTCTGCGGAATTTGATAGGCAGGTATGTATTACATATTTTTTAGAGTGTACTATATTTTAACCGCTTATTTTTTTAAATAATATATTTCGCTGAAGAAACATTGACAACCCTAAGTCTGATATGACTGTACCTTCGTTGTTTCAGATTTTCAAATTACAAATGCTTTTGGGACCCGAGCAACGTGGAACACGAAGACCATAAAAATTTTATGGTCTTAAATATTCTAGTCAAGAAAAAAAAGTGCGAAGTAACTCTCTATGATAAATAATAAAATGCGTAATTTATAGGGTATTGTTGAGCTTGCATTTTCTAATTTTCACGAAAATTATAGTGACAGATCCGTGCGGTTAGTTTCCCTTCACTTGAGAAAATTAAAAGGTCTAATGTCTCTTGAAGCTATTAAAAATTATAACTTCTTAATTGACGCGAAAAAGAAAGATACGTAAATTTAATTTATAAACGCATATTTCGACTCTTGAGGGAATCAATACAGGGATATAGCAACGTTTTATAGTAAAAGTTAAAGAAAAGTTTAAAAACTATGCATTAGTAATTAAATCGTAAAAAATAAAGTCGTAATTTAATATTTATTACTGGTTCAAGTGATGAAAAGTGATGAAAAAAATATTAGGCATTCTTATTAAAAAAAAATAAGAAAAATATGGTACCGAACCTTCAGTTCAAAAGAAAGCAGTTTCATGAGTGCTCGGAGAAAAAAAAGTCTAATACAAAATCAGAAGTGATTCGATCAAACAAACGTGTTATTGACCACGTCCTTCTATTCTAGAAAGAAACCAATGGTTCACCGGCAAGGATGTGACCTGTAACACGAACCAAGCATTCCCTCCCACCATTTCACCGGTCCATTGGCCTACGTGCTTACGAGTTCAACGCAAACAGTCAAAGAAAGCACCCGTTACTTTCTTCCACGAAGAAACCAACTAGCGGTACGCACGGAACGTAAAATCACAAAAATTAAGGAATAAACCCTCCTTAGGGGTTTTTAGAATCAGTGATTAGTGAAATTAGTTAGACGATAAATGATTTGTGATCGAGTGATAATTTTCCAGATTTTTTTCGATGTGACTCTTCGTATTTTTAACTGCAAAAAAGTAAGGTATGTATTAATTGCTGCGCAATTTTGTGCCGTTTTTAATGTTTTAAAGTAGTTGCGACTTGCGTCGTCTTTACAATGTAAATATCACAAAAACTAAAATCGTATAAGCTACAATCTATACTGATTTTATAACGAGGAAAGATTTGATTGTTTGTTTGTATTGAAAAGTCTCTGAAACTTCTGGGCTTTTTTAAAAATTCTTTCACCTCAGCCTACGAAGCTACATTATACGCGGGTTATAGATATATGCTTTAATTTACGTGAGCCAAGTCGCGGGAAAACAGCTAGTACTTAGATGATGTATATTTAAATTAGCATCTATGGCTTCTTTTCTCTAATTCTATATCGTTCTATACCATTAATATACCAATTTAAAATTGCTTACTGTTAAAAGACATTTAGCTTTGTTTGAATTTAGAACACAAATATTTATTATGCTTTCACAAATCTGACGAATAAAAAAAGTAAACGAAAATATTGAGTCCAGCGAAGGTCGAGCGTAAAACGAATCGTTTATGAATACAAAAAAAAACCAATCACATTTCTTCTGAATAGATTACGAGGTGCTTTATACAAAATTACCAAGCGTATTTTTTACTCTATCATATTATAATCGTAACTTTCGTTTCGTAGAACTCTCGATTTTACTAACATTGACGTAATTCGACCGAAACTTTCCATACGATTCGAATAATAGGGCCAGGTAAATTACGCGTTTAGAAATAAGTTCCAATGACATGCAAAAATGTATTTATTGTATCAACTCATGCGTTTTGGTGTATTGATGGCAGCATATAAAGTTACAATAAAATGCCAAATTACAGGAATTAATATAGGTATAGATTTTCAATTTAAATTGCAGGTGTGCTACGTACACCTTTCTTTTAGATGGAATCGAATCAGACTACACAGGCCACCACGCGGGTCTAATACGAATTGGTGGCTGTTAACGAATGCAGACGCAGCCAAGAACAATGGCTAAACGTGGATTTCAAAGTAGTAAGATAGTAAATTTTTGGTCACCCATCTCATGGTCGACCAAATGGCAAATCATAAATAATAAAGAACTAATCTATTTAATAATTAATACCTCCTAATTATTATAACACAACATTAAACTTAGCATTAAAGTGGATATATTTTTAACATCATTTACTTCATACACTTTCTATGATCGCTTTGTTCCATAGCAAAACACAGCTCGGGTTTTAATTACCGACTAGTTACGTAACTGCTAGTTATTTTCACCGGAACCGTTTAATATTCTGGATAAATAGTATTGTACGCCTAACGCGGGCACCGCCATAAGCGCGATCGGTTTCGGTCCAATGAACGGGCAGAATCACTTTCTATGATATCTGAAATAACTGAATACGTATCGCAGGGAAGTGTTAATTCTAGCACAACAAGAGATAATTAATTAACGAGAAATAACTAACTAGTCAATAAAGCATACATTTACAGTATTATAGTGTTATTAATAAACAAGGTTTAGCGTCAGAGTAAATATACACTAAAATAACAATTTTACTATTAGTTCAAATTCATATACAGAGAATAAGCAAGCCCACTACCTTCTAGGAATAAATATTATCCTTGTACTAGGTTAACCTTTGCTAAGTCTCTTTTTAATAATATGAATTTTGAATAATACTAAGTACAGTCTCAGCGTAAATTTATTACAACGCTAAACCTTGTTTATTAATAACACTGTTAGGGTCGGTGTATATGAAACAAAAGTTGCGTCGCGTATAGTCGGCCGCGGAACGTCGGTACTGACAAGCTTCTGTGAGACGCTTGACGGAACTATCATCAGATTTGTAAATCACTCAATCATAGTGATTGCGTTATTGCGATGGATCTTATTATGATAAAACTTGTTCAGCATAGGATGAGGGGTTAACTATTAAAACATCAATAGTAAAAATTTTATACGTAACTCAAAAATATGGTATAAATTTAAACAAAATAATCGTTGAAACCTGAACAAACACAACCTATTTGAGATGTGAACAAGGAAGTTTAAAAATAAAAAGTGTGTCAAAAGGTGGTCTGTGCCGTCGTCGTCACAAGAAGTGTCGAACGCACACTGACTTGCTAACGGTACCATACTGGCATTCTCATTCATAGTACACGGATGAATAGCAGTAACAAACAAAGATACCTTGTACCGATAATGAACTGTCAAAATTTTCAACTAAATCCAAGAGGTAGAATATCGACGCTAGTAACCGAACACGTAATAATTGCAAAACCAAAGTTGTTCTTCAAAGCAGAAAAACCGTGATTTTTTGGATAAATAATTCCTATAAACGTCCATGCTAACAAATAAGGTGTTCCTTACTCAATTTATATAGAAATAAGATATTTTTTTGGAATAATATAAAGATTTTGAAAGATTTGTACTGTGTGCAAAAAAATTAATTTATATGTTTTTGTTTTGGGTATATACAAACCACAATTATTTGGAGAAATCAAGAAGTTTATAAATATTTTCACGAAAATATATTTGAAAAAAAGAACGGTCATAAATATATTCTAGTTAGGTATTCATTAAATAATGTTAGTCTTATTCTTGAAAGAAAAGAGTTTGAAACATAAGTTTTTAACAATCGAACGCGCTCCCACTACACAACACGCAAGGGCAAAGCAACATCCACACTGACCGCTCAGAAGCGGAGTTAGAATCCTATTCGAATATTCGAAATTCGAACCATGATTCATGATTCACGTCCCAAATCGCGGATCGTTCGATAGCCGATTTATGATGGATCGTTTAGTGTGGATGCAATTAGTGAACACTACATGCTTTGGTTTCTTGAAAGACCTTGCTATTTATAATCGGTATAAATGTTTCAGAAGAGTCATTAACATAAGGCTTATGTTACTCGCGTATAATGAAGTTTCCCACAGATAAAATAACTTTTGAAATAGGTTCAGAAGTTTCAGAAGTTAGATAGAAAATGTATCTATCATACTGTTAGTTTTGTCACTATCACAGACCAACGTTAACATTCTTTGTCGTGGAAGTAACTGAAGCCAACGAAAGTCAGATTTAATTTTCGATAACAAGTGAGCTAGTTGGTACTCCTTCTAAAAATAGATATATTAGAGATTTTTAAAATGGTTTAACAATTTATTTAAAATAAAAAATATTTTTTATTAATAAGGGTCGGTGCATATCTGGCGGAAGATGCGTCGCGTAATAGGCTTGTATCCTACAAATAGAAATACAGGTTTCAGATATATGTTTGGAAAATATGAAACATTTTGTCTCATTAATATTTAATAAAATGAATTTTTAGACACGCTTTCAAAACTTGTAAAAAGTTTGGAAAATATATTACCAAAATTTCCTAAAATACATATGGCACTAAATTATTTACATAAAACGTAACAACTTTTATTATTAGAGCTATAAACATAAACGCATAAATAATAAAGATTATATATAGCCCGGACGCCTATATGTTTGTCGCTTCCGTACGTCCACACTGTGTGACATCACTTAGTGCCTTGAATTTGTACGGAGCGCTTTCGGCCGACTAGCAGCAGTTCCAAAAACATAGCACAGTATCACCGAAATTATTAATCGCAGACATACTGTTACTTTTACATTAATGGACCACTTATTTATAAAATAAAAAAGAAGTTGTCAACTAGCCTATTATCGGTAGGAGACTGGCAGAATTGATAATCATAGATTATGACATTCTACCTTGCACAATCGACTGATGATGTATTGCCTACTAAGGCATATTCTGTGAGACACTCGCCGGCTCTTCAGTCATTTTTTTATGATCGGTTCAGTATTTCCGAAGATACCTCCTACACACAAAGTTAGAAAGTTACAAAGAAATATTGTCCATTATTGCATCTTCTTTGTTTGTATGTAAAAATCTGTTTTTATGAAAAACAGAGTCTTAGACCCCTTCTAATAATTATTATGGTAATTTATTATTTGAATATTTTGGTCAACAAAAAATTCATAAGTTGTAGATGAATCACACAGAACTGAATTTTAAGTTTCGTAACTTTCCGGATAAGTATTCGAATTTATGTCGTTCGGTCGTAGATTGATTATTAATTATTTACGTGTAATACGTATGAGTCACAAACAGTAAAAGATTGCATAAAATAAGATGAGACGTGTCAGTGACACAGATGGAGGTCGTTTAGCTCAAAATAAAAGAGTCAAATATTATTTTTAAACAATTAGTACCTCGAAAACATTTACGACTTATAAAATTGCGTATGTCAGGCTTTCATAAAATATTAATCATATACATTTTCACATGAATGCTTTAGGGCAATTATTATTTATATTTATCAATAAAGTACGCATAATTATCAATGTGAAAGAATTATTAAGTTATTATAAAAACTTGTAAATTAAAATCGCTCGATTATTGTGACTTTTGGTAGATAATAATATCAATTATTTCGTATATAATATCATTTAAGTAAATAGCTCAATTCCATTTTCGGCAAAGTCGATAACAACAGATTTTTATTGTTAAATCGGCTTTAAGATTTTATAAATATTTTACTTAAGATTATGTCGACACACAAACAGTGTATCGCAATGTATAGCTGTTGTGTATAAATATTACACGGGATTCTTATTCTGCACTCTCCCTTACAGTTGACGAGATGAGTTCGATAGTGAACGTAGCTGCTGACGTCATATCGGGAACGGCGATCGCAGCTGCGAGTACTCAGGTACAGTAAGTTTCAAACAAGAAGGCGCATGGTGATTCTTAGTTTGCGCAGGGCAACAGGCTTACCTTTGACATCAATCGCAATCGATCGACATTGAAATTAGCGTCCTTTGCGTAAATATTGAATAGTTATTGATTGAACCAAATGATATTGAGTTTGCGCTATAATCCGTATCCGTTTTCTGTCAACATTAGCATTATCGATATTGTTTAAATGTTGTGATCGTCACTATTGCATCGAACGTCGACAGCTCATTTCATGTTTATCTTCTCAATACTCAATTCAATTGCAATACTCAAGAATTAGGTTACAAGTGTACGAATTAAAAGTAACCCTGCTTATCTTTCAATTCCAACGGAGATTGAACGATCGATTAGTCTACTTACTTAAAGTCATCATTAAACCTTTAATGGAAATTTGTGCAACCGGGTGTTAATTTATAAACAGAGATTAATGATAAAAAATAATGTCATGTTATAATACTTTTTTCAGGTTGGTTGGTTTATACCAATGTTGGTGGCTGCGATAGCATACTACCAGTTTGACCAGACAGATCCTGAAGGCCGACCCGCTGATGTCACCGACGCTGCGATGCTACCAGAATACGACTTCATTGTGGTGGGAGCTGGTTCTGCTGGTCAGTGAGTACGAAACTATTAGTATTATAAGCAAATTAATTTCTAGGGATAAGTTTGAAAATCCAGTAGTAAAGAAACGGGGAAGGAGTGTTAGAACATGCAGCGTTTTTTTTTTTCTGAGAAGTTTTTTTATGGTTGGGAGCTAGAGAAATAGTTCAACTGTGATAATTTAAATTATAAACCTCATTTAGCTTAAGAGTCCCATTACAAATACTAACAAACTTGCTACACGGCCGCACGAATTGAGTTTCGATTAATAAAGCATAACTCAATTTATTTCCAGGTGCGGTAGTAGCAAATCGTTTATCGGAAATAGGTAATTGGAAGGTGCTCCTTCTCGAAGCTGGTGGCGATGAGACAGAGATATCCGATGTCCCTGTCCTAGCAGGATACCTGCAGCTAAGCAAATTAGATTGGCAATATAAGACTGAGCCTCAGGGAACAAGTTGTCTTGGTGAGTAATATAACATTTAATTATATTAAAGAAAATGTTGCTTGCTTAAAATAAAGTTGGACTTAGATAATATGATTTTATTTTAAACCTTCATAGAACAAAAATAAAAAGGGATTTCGTTGTTTTCAGCTATGGAAGAAGGGCGCTGCAATTGGCCTCGTGGTAAAGTTCTCGGCGGTAGTTCGGTCTTGAATTACATGTTGTATCTCCGAGGAAACAAAAAAGATTACGACACGTGGGAGTCGTTGGGAAACAAAGGATGGAGCTACAACGATGTTCTCTACTATTTTAAGAAGTCTGAAGACAATCAGAACCCTTATTTAACACAGACGCCGTATCACAGCAAAGGAGGGTATCTCACTATCGCTGAAGCACCATACCACACACCGTTAGTATCGAGCTTCATTGAAGCCGGTTTAGAAATGGGCTACATGAACAGAGACGTCAATGGCGAGAACCAAACTGGATTTATGGTTGCCCAAGGAACTTTGAGACGTGGTAGTCGCTGTTCAACGTCTAAAGCATTCTTGCGTCCGGCTAAAGACCGTAAAAATCTACATATAGCTATGCATTCGCATGTTAGTAAGGTGATGATAGATCCGAGAACTAAAATTGCATTTGGAGTAGAATTTATCAGGAACAAAATGCTCTATCGCATACGTGCTAGGAAGGAAGTTATTCTTTCAGCAGGAACTATAAACTCAGCACAATTATTAATGCTCTCTGGAATAGGACCAGCTGAAGAACTGACAAAGCATCGGATACCAGTTATACAGAATCTAAAAGTAGGAAGTAATCTTCAAGATCATATTGGTCTAGGTGGATTAGCGTTCATGGTTAATAAAAAAGTATCGATCGTCGAGCACAGGCTTCACACAGTGAGCACATTGATGGAATATGCAGTTCTGGGGGAAGGACCTTTGACCATAATGGGGGGAGTTGAAGGACTGGCCTTTGTAAATACAAAATATATGAATGCATCTGATGACTTTCCCGATATTGAGTTCCATTTTATTTCCGGATCAACCAATTCGGACGGAGGCGAGCAGTTGCGCAAAGTTCATGGACTGTCAGAGAATTTTTACAATGCAGTATTCCGACCTATTAACAATATGGACGTCTGGAGTATAATTCCTATGCTTTTGCGTCCGAAAAGCAAAGGGTTTATACGATTACGAAGCGCCAACCCATACGATTACCCTTACATCTACCCAAATTATTTAACAGATGAAGCGGATGTTAAAACATTGATTGAAGGTGTTAAAATAGCTGTAGCAGTTTCTAGAACAAAAGCGTTCCAAATATATGGCTCTGTATTGAATAAGAACATATTTCCAGCTTGTACGAACATTCATCGTTACGCAGATGCTTATTGGGAATGTATGATAAGGCAATACACATGCACGATTTACCATCCGGTTGGGACAGCTAAAATGGGACCCTACTGGGACCCAGACGCTGTGGTCGATAACGAATTGAGAGTATATGGGGTCAAAGGACTTAGGGTTATCGATGGTAGTATAATGCCTAACTTAGTAAGTGGCAATACGAACGCGCCTATTATAATGATCGGCGAGAAAGGTAGTGACATGATAAAAGAGTTCTGGCTCAAGCGCAGAATATCCAGATATTACATTTAACAACAAAGACGTACAAAATTATTTTTTACATATCAGTATTATAAGTTATATTATAAGTATTTATTGTTCAGCTGTAAAATTATCTCTGTGTCTCTACAGTTACAGATCGCGCATCTGAAGCTGTCTTCGACGCGAAGCTACAAAAGTATCTAGGACCAATGGTTTGAGATGTATTGCGTAGTCAATGGGTTTATAAAAGTGCATAATAAACGAGGCAAAATCGTAGCGACAAATAGTAATAAATAATGGCACATCTCGCAAAATATCGTAAAAACCTCTTTTTATCAATTACAGAAAAAAACTATTATTAAGTTATATTTATTTATTTTCACAATAAAGCACAAAGTCGTGTAACTTAATGAATGACAGCACATTCAAAGCTTACTTAAGTATATCTTTAGACTTTTATAGGTAATAATAATAATCATCGTTAATGTTTTAAATAATCGTTACATGTTTCTTAGACAATTGTACATATTTATTGCTAAATTTGTGTCTTTTGAGAAACTTTAATAAAATCTCTGTTGACTCCAATTACTTTTCATATCTATAATATTTAAAAAGTTTTGTAATTTTAATAATAGATTTATTTGTATTTAATTTCTTTTGTTTAACTTGGTTCATGTGCCGTTATAACTGTCAGAGAATTATTAAACGATATTTAAAGACGTTATTGCCTGACAAAACCATTTAAAAACATATAATTTATATTAATTTACTATCAATTACAATTGATTAGCAATAAAATGTGATTTACTTCTAATAGCTCTTAAGTTATTAATGTAGAATTCATTGTGAAAGGTATTTTTTGTTTTGTTTGAAGCTTGTCGACGGTCAAAATCTTTATATAGGGCCATATCATGCGAAGGAAAGCCATTGTAAAAGGGGGATCATCATATGTGTGAATAGCATTATCCCAATAGGTATGATTACTAAATTATTATTTTTGGTAGTCCGTTAGGTAGAATATTTAAAAATATGAAAGATGTATTTAATTTTGCTACGTCATAAAACTATTAATAGGTTTCTAAATAGAATTAACTTATTTACCTAGGCATAATGCATGCGGTTAAATCCTGTGAAGTTTATAATCTTTTAAAAAATCGATGTTATACGTTACCAATTTCTCGGCATGATTAATGTGTATACTCATGCCAAATTATTTTATTTTGTACCAGCACTTTTTGAGCTAAACCGCGAACGGACAGACGATCATGACGAAATTATAAGGGTTCCTTGTTTACTTAAGAACCCTAAAAAAGTTTTAAAACTTCACCATTCGCAGTTACCCCGGATGGGACCGATGAATTATTTAAGCATTTTTCTTGAATATAAATATATATCTATCTTTATAGTGTGTCAGTAGGTATTGTGAATGTAGAATTAATCAAATTTTATATGAGATAAAAAATCAAGTAATGTAAAAGATGAAGCCTTATAATTCATTTTTAAAAATTATGAATTGTATTGCTAATATACATATATTTGTTGTTGTTGTTGTATTATTTAAAAAAAACAACTTTTGAAAAGAAACGTAATTAAAAATTCAAGTAATTATCTATTGCCGATTTAAGCATCAGAAAACTAAATAATTGTTAAATGCAATAAGTTTGTTGATTAAAATTAATTCTTTGTTAATACAAATAAACGGAAATTAATTATAAACCGAATAGCCATATTTTATTTCATGGGGTTTGTAAATGAATTCCTGAAGCAAAACTTTTTGTTATTATTACCTGTTAACAAATACGATAAATGTATTCAAGTTAAATAATTAATACGATTTCTCTAATTCAACAGGAAACTACGAATTAATTGTGAATCGTTAAAAATAGTTGTAGGTTAAAATGCTTACGACATTGGCAGATTCCGCCTGTGAACCAATTAAGATTTTCATGAGCTATTTCCTCCTGGGATTTTCATTTGTAAATTACTTAAGATGCCTATTTGTATCATGAAGTCTAGTGAGCGTCAATTACGTTCGGAAGGTGAGGAACAGAGGTACCAAGACAGAATGGTTCGTACGCCGGTTTCAAGGTGTCATCATCTGAGGTGCCGTGTTCGAGTCCCGGCTGGGTTAATATAGACAATGAACTTTTATATATTGCCTCTGCTATTGATGTTGTGGTACCTTCGTTGTATAAGATTTCCGTAACGTATGTACTAAGCGGAGCTCGGTGGCCTCATGTGGCAGTCATAGTGGATTAACGTCGCAGCTTGCGATCGTTGTTCATCATCTTCATCATCAGCCCTTTTACGTCCCCACTGCAGGGGCTCAGGCCTTCCTTATGGATGGTTAAGGAGGATGGGCCATGACCCTCCACGCTGGCCCAATGCGGATTGGAGGGTATTAACGACTGCAAATGCAGCCGGGACCAACGGCTTAACGTGCCTTCCGAAGCACGGAGTAGCTCGAGATAATAATATTTTGGTCACCCATCCCGTGACCGACCCTTGCGAAAGTTGCTTAACGACAACTATCGTAGGCCGCGGCGCTTATCCACTACGCCACCGATCTACTGTTCGATCGTTGTTGCTAAGCAACTTTTGCAGGCGTTGATTATAAAATGGCTGAACAAAAAATTATTATCTCCAGCTACTTTGGTAACGGCTGCATTATTCGCATTGGAAAAGCGTCGAACATTATATGGAGGTCCTGAGCTCCTACAGTGGGGACGTAAAAAGTTAATAATGAAGTACGAAGAGCTACTTAATTAGGGATTTCAGTTATGTGATTTGTATGACATATTTTATTTATGGGTATAAATCAACCTACTCATTTCTAATACAAGTTTACTCTTTTTTCTCTATTGAAAAAAAAGAATAAGCATAATAAAAAATACTGTGAAAAAATGTACATTTTAGGACTTTGAAGTTGCGCTCGCTAGAATAATTTCGCTTCACGCGGTACCTCAGCGTGTGACGTCACGCTACCGAACATGACTGCGAGGACGCGGCTTAGTAGTATTTTAGCAGTGGCGTAACTCTATTTTTTTTTTACTAATTGTGTAATAAAAAATGGCAGGACTAAGGAGTCTCCTCTGACCGGGGCCCCTTCCAGCTGGGGTCACTGTATTTTAGGTTTATTTTTGATCTTACAGTCGCGTTTTGTTTATTACTCAATGGAAGGCACTAAAAATCTTCTATTATTGATGTATTGTCCCTATGTATTTAAGTACAATAATAAAAAACCCTAATAAAATACTTTTAAATAAGGATACGAAAAAAATTTAAATTGTTGAATAGAACGCTAATGCAGATGCATATAAAGTCTCAATAGCAAGGTCCTTAGCCTAACCACAAATCAGACCAAAACATGTACCTACTATCAATCATCTACGCTAATAGTTTCGGAATAAAGTGGCTGTGACATACTGCCGGACGCACAAATATGCTGTAGACTCCCAATGAACATTTTCAACGAAAACTTGTTTGAACGGGATATAGCCACATTCTGAGATATATCACATTTACAAAAACCGCAAATATTACTTTGTCATTCATTAAAACACTATGAAAATACAACACAAACAAAGTATTATAAGCAAGTAGATATGTTCTAAGGTATTAAAATGTAAAAATATTTCTACGGAACCCTCGGTGCACGAGTCCGACTCGACTTTCATACTAATTGGTATCTCAACAAGTTTAATATACATCAAACTATTATCTTTACCTTTTGTAGGTTATAAAATTTATTATTATAGATATATAAAACACACTAAACACAAATAAATAAAAAAAATTGAATGTCCATTAATAACTAAAAAACCAAACCAGAGGTATCCAATAACTGGAAAACAGTAAATGTTTTGCAAAGACTTCTATTTAGTTTGTAGTGCGACGATCTAGAGTTCGTTGTTGTGACGTCACTGGCGGGTTGGAGGCTAAAGACATTCTATGCGAAAATAATCTATAACTTGCTCATTTCAATAGCGAATTTTAATTTTAATTAATATTTTTTTGATTTATTTTAGTTTTGACCTATATATTTATTATATTCGTTAAATATAATATATCAACATCATGAATCTTCCTAATTAAACATAATTTCTTAAAAAATGATGAATTAATGAATTATTTCTTTTTTGAAATCGTTTAAAAGGTATACATATTATATTAATATCATTAAAATGACGCATAACAACGCAAGTAAACCGATAGATAATGACCGTCATATCGAAAGTGAATGTCGTAATAAAGAACGTGAAAAAAACTGCGTCAACAAAACAATACAATGCACAATGCTCACAGAGTAATAACACTAATTAAATCATCATTATAATAATACACGATAACAAGAACTGACACTGTATAAGAAACAGTTTTAAGGCGATGATAAATGGTATAGGTTTATAGGCCAACGCTATTTTCTTACTAATCCGGAATCCTAGTAATATTATAAATGTGACAGTTTGTAAGGATAGTATGAATGTATGTTTGTAACCTTTTTACGTAAAAACTGCTGAACGGATTGTGATGAAATTTCGTACACGGATATTGAGAATGATGACTAATTTCTTTTTGTCAGGTAGATTATTGATAAATATTAAACACTTTTTTTTGTGTGTAATCAATAAATTACGGCGATACATTGAGTTGAAATGTCGCATGACGTCACGCGTCTGGAAATTTTATAAAACCATTTTACATTTAAAAACAAGTATCTATAACTTTTCTATTATGTAACCGGACTAAATAGAAATTTTTTTGTTACTCAATTAAAATTAAGGGAGCTTTTAAAATAGTTCCCTAGGAATCCACACGTCTGAAACCGCTGGCGCTTCGCTAATCTGTTATAGTAGTATCCAAGAACTCTACGACGAGCACAGCGCTGTCACGACATAGAGCTTCATTCAAACAAAACCTTATTCAAAAGATATTATTGTGAAAGCGTTGCGCTCAAGTTAGGTTCGATGCTGTGGCCTATTGTTTAAATTCATCGCAATACCTTTTAAATGTATAGCGATTTATGGAATTATGTAACTTTAAAAGTCAAAATTTCTTTCGGAACGAATGATGATTTGAATGGTGTGAATAATGACTTAGTAACTTAAAGTAATATGTGCGCCTAACGCTTGCCTACTATTCCAATCAACGATATCTACTTACTATTTCAATATCATACATTTAAAAAAAAATCAAGATATTTATCACGAAATATAACATCGTTGAATAATTATTAATATATTTATTGTGATTAGTAATTACTCTGCACAATTGTAAATAAATAACAATAACCCTTGTCTTTTTATCATAATGCTGAGTAAGTTGTAATGGGATTCTTCAATAATATCATTTGCGAAGTTTATTGCACCGGACGCACACATAATGTCATCGTATAATTCCGCGTCATCGCTCAGAGGAATTTATTCAAGCACAAGGATATTATTTGGCCTATTGCCAGGATTGGGCACTCTCATTGTGCTACGAATGGCCATACATTTGTATAGGCCTGACATAGAAGACGCGGAAAACAGAGTGAGAGATTACCCTTTCGATAGACTTTACGAGTGTTACGACTTCATTATTGTTGGTGGTGGTTCAGCCGGGTCAGTCCTCGCCAACAGACTGTCAGAAAACCAGGACTGGAACATATTACTGTTAGAAGCTGGACAAGATGAGAATGTATTATCCGAAGTTCCCGTCCTGTTTCCCGTTCTGCAAACGTCATCCATAGATTGGCAATTTGTGACTGAACCTAGTGATGCATACTGTTTGAGCATGGTAGAAAGGAGTTGCAAGTGGCCACGTGGAAAAGTGCTTGGTGGATCCAGCGTGCTCAACGCCATGTTATACATACGTGGGAATAAACGGGATTACGACAACTGGGCTAAAATGGGGAACACAGGTTGGTCATACAAAGAAATATTGCAGTACTTCCTTAAAGCTGAAGACATGAGGATCCCTCAGTATCAACATGATCGCTACCACTCTACAGGTGGCCCATTGACGGTTGAGTATTTTAAATACGAACATCCTATTACGAGAAACATACTAGAAGCAGGTCAGCAGCTAGGCTATAACATATTGGATGTAAATGGGCCTTACCAAACGGGATTCACTCGATCTCACGCAACGGTTCGAGATGGTCTACGATGCAGTGCTGCAAAAGCATATTTAAGACCGGCTTCAAAAAGACCTAATCTACACGTAAGTGTACATTCTCTTGTGAAGAAAATACTTATAGATGAACATCACAGAGCATACGCAGTACAATTCGTTAAACACGGCCAAGAACGCATAGTCAGAGCTAGCAAAGAAATAATATTATCAGCCGGAGCTATCCAATCTCCGCAACTGCTTTTGTTATCTGGAATAGGTGATGCTGTTCATCTTAAAGAAGTGGGAATATCACCGATTGTCAGTCTACCCGGAGTAGGGAGAAACTTGCAAGATCATATTGCTATGGGTGGACACTCGTTCCTTTTCGAAAATCCTTATAACAACGGTACCGAATACGGTTTTAATTTATTTTCAGCTCTGAATGTTGGTTCACTAATTGATTTTTCAATATATAAGAAGGGTTCCATGTATAGTATGATGGAAGCGGAAGCGATGGCTTTTGTTAATACCAAATACCAAGACCCTGCAGAAGACTATCCAGATATACAGCTATTTATAGCGCCAACTGCTGATAATATGGACGGAGGTCTTTTCGGAAAAAGAGCTAATGGTTTGACAGATGAGACTTATGCTGAACTTTATGAGGACATTCTCTATGAACCATCTTTCTCAGTGGTGCCGCTACTGTTAAGGCCAAGAAGTCGAGGTTTCTTAAAGCTTCGTGATGCAAACCCTTATTCGCCACCTAGAATTTATCCGAATTATTTTGCAGACCCTCAAGACGTCAATGTTATGGTGAGTTTGATAAAAATAAAACTTAAAAACGTTTATAATAATAATAATCTTTATTATATAAAGTAGGAATGTTATAATTTTACTTAGTTTATTTACAAAAATAGGTAACAACTTAAATTACTCTTCTGTTGCCGAAATAGGAACAGACATCCTGTATTCCAGCGTAAAGCGCCCTTAAACCCCCATAGAACAATGTGTGTAATTTTTGTAGATATATAATTTAATTGTGAACTGATACAAAACTGAAAGTATGTGCGTGCATGTGTGGGTATGTGTGTTTAAAAGAAGCATTTTGTGTAAAGCTATGTTGTATAGTGTTTTTTTAACACAGCATAATTATAAAACAAGAGTATAATACAAAAGGTATATCCGTCCATGTGATACTGTAACTATGTATAATAATGTTCTTTTGAACAGATCATTTTAATGTGGAATGGAATCTCCAAGCGACACGACAGCATGTAGTTGTAGACATTTGTTTACTAAAACTATAATTATTAAAAAACAAAAACTAAGATTAACAGCTAGTTGCATAAACGGCCATTAAAATTTTCATTAGTTTAAAGCAACATTACCCATACTAATTTGACATTCATTAGATCTTAAAGGCGTTTTTAAACCTTAATGGGTGTTTGTGCAACGGTACGTAAGACAGTCGTCTTTAAATACAATTATATTGATATTCAATAATCGAATAAAAGCTACTTTAAAAGGCAATAAAAGCTTAATTTCATTGAAGCTCTATAACGTGAAGTTCGACAATAACTTCGAGGCTGTTTTTTAACAGAATAGTATTGCTGAGAGGACAAAAAACTAATATGAAGCTATCAGCTAGGAACTTTATTCTTAGGTTAAGGTTTATTCTTATTTAAAAATAGGCCGCAAGGAGTTGGGGCTCAGCTATAATTTTTATTAGACTGTTTAATAATAAATATACAATTTATCTTCAATAAACTCAAACAAATCGTCCTAGGTAAAAGGATGGGCTAGAACCGATTGATCATTTACCCATTTAACAGAGTTCTCTTGAAACACATACTATTAAACATTTATTTATTAATTTTATTACCTACATTACCATTTTAAAAAACCGTAATATTTTATGTATAATTGTAATTATACTACAAATATTATGAAAAAACTATCTCATTATTAAGTTTTATTACAATACGGGTGTAGACAGTAAAATAAAATAAATACATATTATTATTGTTTTCTGGTAGTGTTTTATATCCTATTACCGATAATCACAGTTTTTATGTTTATTATATTTATAATATTGTTTATATTAATTATGAAAAAACGAATATTTTAAACTTATTATCACGTGGCCGCAAACATCGCCAGAAATCACGATCCTCTTACATCGAACGATATTAGTTTCAGTGGGCCGTGACGTCATAGCGACGCCACGACAGAGGTGGCGATTTCGCAAGAAATTTAGATAATTAAAATAATTTTTATTTTTTAACATATTATATGAATTATATTTTTATGAAATATTTTTTTTCAGATATTGTTCATGTATATCTATAAAATAAAATTATATAAAAAGGTGCCTACACCCTTATTGGGCCAAAACTTTACAGACAAATAGTATTTCATGTTTATATCTAACTAGTTGTGCCCACGATTTCCACGTGAAAAGCATAAGCTACCCTTTATTTCATAAGCCAGTGAGAGTCCGATCAAAATCAATCCAGCCCTTTCAAAGATTAGCTGGAACAAACAGACAAAAATTTAATATTACAAACAGACACTCATATTTTATTTATTTGTGTATAGATATTAGGTATGGGAGAAAATATAAATTATAAATAATACTTTCCTTGTCAGAGTTTGTTTTTGTTCTCAGACAAGACTTCTGAATTTGGAATTGGTGGTAGCCAGGGGTAAAGGAATAAGTCATAAGTCTTTTCAAAATAATTTAATTTAATAAATGTAATCGTTTCTATAAAATATATATTCTTTAGTATTGTGAATGTGTCCAATAGTGTTGTTTTGAAGGTAGATATATGTACACTTAAAAACACAATCAAGACCTTAGTCTTATATGAACACTGAATCTGTAAAGTGTCCGAAACGTTAATAAAACTAAATACAAACGCGTTAACCGTTTTAAAGTTTTTTCATTTATGGATGGTGCGTGTGAAAATATACGAAATAAATAAATATAAATTAATCAATGTGGTTCCAAAAGAAGCCACTTCCTGATTTTCTTCAGTAAATTGTGTAATAATTAATTATTTTTATATCACAGGTTGAAGGAGCACGAATAGTACAAGAACTTATTCGACAGCCAGCTTTACAAGAGCTGAAAGCGCGACCTAACCCGAACCGCAACCCTGGTTGTAACCATCAAGACATCATGTCACACGAGCATCTCGAATGTCAAGCCAGACATCACTCCCTCACAATATACCACCCAGTGGGCACCTGTGCTATGGGATCGACAAGTAACCCCGAAGCTGTGGTGGATCCAAGACTGAGGGTTAGTTTGGTTTTTTTTTTTACAAAAATAACCACGTGGTCGTCCACATGGGCGAAGCCGCTGGCGGAAAACTATTGTTATAATTATTGTCACTAACAGTTTCACATATTACGTTGTGAGTTATAATTATTTTCAGTAACGGTATAGGAAATATTACTTTGTGAAAATATATATATTTTTTTTAATTTAATTACAGGTGTATGGTATTAAAAGCCTTCGAGTGGTTGACGGCAGTATAATGCCAACTATTATTAGTGGTAACACTAACGCTCCTATCATCATGATAGCAGAAAAAGCATCAGACATGATAAAAGAGGATTGGTACGAAGGCTTTGATGAAAATTCTACTTGCGGACCAATAAACAACACAACTTACGCATCATTTAAAAATTCATACACCGATGAAGTAGTCGAAGCGAAAATAATACCCAATTTATTCAACGAGACCACAAGCCTATTTCCCAATTTACCAGTTGATCATATTCCTACTCATCCAAAGAAAGTTACAAAAATTGACAAAATGATACCAAAAGCACGAACGACTGAAATAAAAGAAAGTGTAGGAGACAAACTAGTCCAAAGTCAAAGTGAAACATATCCGATGAACGAGGATGATCCAGAACACAAATACCCAAGTTTTTATCAATCAATAAATCCCCGATTAATCTACGGTCCACCAAATGTGATGGAATACCCATATTGGCCTCCAGAAACGGATAGAATTTATCCATTATATTCGAAGTTAAGTAGACCGAGCGGGTATTTTCAAAGACCTTCTCTTTATAGGACCCCAAGTTTATTTGATAGTTTATATAAAAAATCTTTATTCCGAACACCCGTTAGCAATAATTTATTTTATCCAACTGTTCATGATTATAGCAGAAAGGATGACGTGAAACCAATTTTCTATGAAACTGAGAGAGTGTTTACACCGAAAGGAGAGGAAAAGTGTAGAATTTGGTTGTACTACGATGGCATGAAATACGAAGTAGTTTTGTAATTAGAGTCTTATAATAATTCATTGCCTACATGGGCCAAGAACACAGTTGCAATAAGAACAATAAATTATTAGATATTATGTTTATAATTTGAATTGCCGACATTTAATGTAAATAAAGTCTAAATATATGTCAAAGAAAGAATAAAAAATGAAAATTTTATAACCATAGCGTGTTTCATACAAATCGGTAAAAAGCTTCACATATTGAAAATTTATTACTTGATTGATTGTTAAGAATACTTATCCCACTTTACATTTCTTTATAATTTTTAAAGTAAACTATTAGTGCAATATACATAATTTCCGGTTATTATAGATACTCAAGTAAATTTATTAGTGATAGTCATATTTCATATAATAAATAGTATATAAATATAATATATAGAGTAATTATTTTTTATTACTTGTGACTGTAACCTACATAAAAATATAGTTACTTTTCTATAATAATACAATAAAGAGAAAAGATTTGATGGTTTGCATTTAAGAGACTCCTAAACTAGTAGACTTATTTAAAAATTTCTAAAAAACGCGGGTAACGTAGGCTATATTGTGCGGGCGAAGTCGCGGAAGGATAACTAGTTTTCTAATATTATTGTTAATTCCACGACTTTTCGTAATCCGGACAGGAGAGCAGTTGCCTGGATTGCGAATACTCGTGGGTTCAAGTCCCATGTCAGAGTACTTAGGACTGGTGAATTTTTCAAGTTATTTCTTACCATTCCCTTTACGTCGACATGGAACATTATTTTACAGTGATAACACCTGATTTAGATAGGCAACTCGTGACCTAATTATCATATTTCAACATCTATCGCAATCTTTTACAAAAGTTTAGCAATTGTGATAATTATTTATGGAATTAATTAACTTTTAAAGATGCACTCGTTTTTAGAACGAATTATGATTTGAATGATCAAGAACTCTTTAATTTAATATCCTTCAAAAAAGACACGATAGCAGTCACTATCACATGTTAAATAGTTGTAGCGTTAATTCGTGAATATCTTCTGTACGTCAAATTTAAAGGAATTCGATAGATTTCAAAATTAGAAAATTAAGTAATTTGCTTAAAAGGGGGTCTCAATTGACACATTGTGCTTTGTATTTAATTTATGAAAGTAAATAAATAAAAAAAAATATACATACTATCCACCACAATAGTAACCCGCCATATTCAAACCAAAAGACAAACGAAGAGCAAAGGCACTAGCTACTTTTTCTCGATCTAACCAATGATATTGATCTACCTACCTACAAACTTTGTCACAATTAAATAACAGAAGAGGGGAAATATTCATGTATAACTAAAACTATTATAAACCCATTTTTTTTTTTTAATCTTTCTAGTTATCTGTAGAGCTGTCGTTTTCTATTTCGCTATGCAAATAATAACCATAACTGTATGCAAGAAATAACTGATTGTTCTTATTTGAAGCCACAGAAAGGCACGCGAAGAAATTCAATAAAAGTATGTATGATTTCAAGAGGACTAAATGGGAAAATATGGATTTTTGTTTTTTAGTTCGATTATATTTTCTTTTATTTTTATATTTTGTGATCTATATTAGAATAAATTCTAATACGATGTATTTAATGTGAAAACAGCAAATCTACTGTTAAAACAGTAGGGTTGGTAACACTGTTTGGCACGGAGTTTTATCATTATTTACATCTTTCATGGAAATAAAAACATCGACGAACATGTTGGCAAATATCCACAATGCTCTCACAAACGTTTTGAATGCACAATTATCGCAAGTATCTTCCTAACAAAATAAGTGTGCCTGATCCTGTTTATATAAACAAAATCAAAATAATTAATAAAACAAAGACTTCAATTAGGTAGCTTAAAGCAAATCACTGTATGAAATTAATTGTGAACAAACTAAAGTAGAAATCAATTGCAATTACGAAAAAGATCATATTTGTAACATGATGAATTTATAAAATTTTATGATGATTATTAATAAATTACCCGATTCTCTCTAGTCTCTCTATTCCTCGCTATACTTATCTGCTTGTTTCTCATTCACACCTCTGGATTTGGTTACCATAACCTTACGTTTACACATCAACTTTATGCACAAGAACTCTCAAGAGGATTTTCAATCCTTAAGCAGGAGGCATTATGATTATGAACGCACCGTTATCGCAGAAATAAGAGTATAAGTTTAATAGTGTATATCATTACGAAGCTTCAAAGCGTCTACCGTGATTTATACGTAATGAACCTAGTGCCAGATCAAGCTAGTAGTCGACCTCTGCGCGTGCGCATACACGTCGTCATCGGTGCATTCTGCACTTGCACACTGCACTAACATCATTTTGTTATTACGCTTGGCTGGAACCGGGTTAGACGTGCTTGGTAAATGTAAGTTAAATGGATTTTCTCTGAGTGATTTTATTTCTTTAGTATTTTTAATAGTCTTCATATTCTCTTCAATTCATGATTTTGGGTGAGATCTTTTAAATGTTTATTTTATCATATGTATGTTGTATTTTACCCTCAATATAATAAGATTTCAAATAAAGTTGAGAAATGTTGTATTTTTTTTTATAGCTTAACGTGCTGTTGTTTGTATATCATATGGCTTTCAATTGGTTCAAAATGTATAAGTTTGCATGCAATTCATCATTTAACCCGCGCACAAAAAGCGCAATCTTTTATCCGATTGATCTAAATGTCAAAAATAGAATATACAAAATGTCAAAACAGCATAGGAAATAGGTTTATATCTGTTACTTTCTTACTTCTCAAAATAAACGCAAATGTATTTAATGAACGCAAACGGTTTGTATACCGCCCATTTGTCGAAATTTCTTCCTACAGTATGATATATACCAAACCCAAGTTATTCTACAACTGCACTTATTAATTGTACTTATTATTATTATTTATTATACAAGTATCAAACGCATGGCAGTGTATGTTATGTATTTTTATTAAATAAATAATTTCTTTTTCTTTTTCAAACATTACTATAAAATATAACTACAAAGTTTAACTATTCCAAATTTTATACAACAAAGCGTCAATCGTGAATAAAAACGCGTTTGTTTTATAGGAGTCCCCTTAAGCATTTATTTTATTCTGCTTTTAGTATTTTTTGTTATAGCGGCAACGGAAATACATCATTTGTCAAAACTAGGTTAACTATCACGGTTCATGGGATATAAGCCCTGGTGACAGACGGACAGACAGACGAATATACGGCGGAGTCTTAGTAATTTAGTAAAAGGATCTCGTTTTATGTATTAATATGGTGATAACAAACCTTTTATGTAGGACTTTTAACTTAAAAAAAAAATTCTCCCGATTAAAAACCGCTAAAAGGTTAAACTTGCAAGGCCTACAATAAGAATTTTAGTAATATATATTGGTTCATATTTTCAGAATAAGAATGTGGGCTTGTGACCATGAACTCACGACGACTATAACAAACAGTTACCAGGCAGCTGGTCCGCTGTTTACACATGCGCTGCAGACTATATTAGCAGCACAGTGTGCTTTAGCTGGAGACTATCTGTGGCCTGCAGACGCTACTGATGCTATGTTAGACGGTATGTAATTTATGAACCGGATTGATACCATGATCCTTATTTTTATCGAGTCCCCGATATTTCGTCAAAAACAGAAAAAAAATCAGATACAATGAGTGATGGTGTGTCGACAACAGTTACGAATGAGTGCTGACTTAATGAACAGGTATTGAATGTGAGCAATCGAATATAATTATCTACTAATATTATCTACCCGCAATTTTTTCAGTTCCTCTGTGATTATGATAGCAGTTCCGTTAATAATTATGAAATCAATCAATCATTTATTTCAATAAAGTATGGTTTACAAAAAAAGATGTCAAAGAAGTTAAGTGTCTCATATTAACTGTTAAAACAGAATGCAATAAGTTAAGCTATTTGTAGGTACTTAATTATTAACTATCACAGGCACAGAAATATATCTAGTTAGAAGGAAAAAGTGTACGTACTTCGCGTGCCGAAACGACGTCTAGACAGCTTCATTGCTCGCCGCGAGGCTCAGTCCACTTTCGATCGCAATCGGTGTTGGACGAAATTTAAAATGATGCGTTGTTCGATAATTACCTGCTCAAACACCACCAATATGGTTGGATCTTAAAGTCGAGGTATTTCCTTCCATCGGTAAGTAACTATTTGCCTTGATATATCTATTTTGAATTAAAAATCATTAGTTTTGTTGCTCCGTATTATTTTTATCAAAACGGTCATGTGTCCAGTAATAGCTTTCCATTGCGGCTTTAATTTGACAGTCCAAATTTGCTGTGCTTGTAAAACCATCGATGTATAATTCAAGGTCAATTTGTTGGAGGACAAATTATCATTTTTTCTGTCAAAAATGGAGAATAGTGCTGTACAATGCGATTTTTTTACCCGATTAAAAAAATATCGTTTTTGAAAGCAGAAGAAAGGATAATTAATTTTATATTGAATTATACTGTAATTTTTGTTTTAGTTTTCCGTATGATCCTAATATTAAAAATAAATGGATTGAAGCAACAGGACTCTAAGGCAAATAGTAGGTATACTTACTGGACATGGAAACTTTAACAAACACCTATATAACATGGGTTATTCTGACAGTCCTCTGAGCAGGGCGTGCATGGAGACTGAGGAGATTGTCTCCTCAGTCTCCATTCCAGTATCACATAAGCGCTTGTGCACTCATGTGATACTGGAATGCAGGAGCCTATTAAGACAAAAGGACTACATATCTATGAAGCCCAAGGATACTAGTGGAAGCATGCGGCAGAGTTCGAAAGCAACCCCGTGTCATGCAAAATAGGCACTGAGTATCGAGTTGCAGAAACATAACATAACAACACAGGACGTAAAAATGTGTAGCGTGTCGGGAGGGGGTAGCGGCTACTACAAAGTGTTTGCCCACAGAAAAATGCCGATTTCTATTCTATCGCATAAAATCTTTTTTGCGCCGATTCACTAAATTACATTCGTGAGTTCGTGACATATACATAATATTTAAGCAAAATGGTAGTCTGTCTATAAAGTCATGAAAAAAATTGAGGGCGCTGCGATCGTGCACGTAGCAACCCTGTGTAGTCAGACAAATGATTTTGATAGTAGGATTTTTTTTTTAATTTTATTACCCCAGAAAAGGTAAAGAAAGGCGTATAATTCGTAGACAATGAGTTTATTCTACATTGAAGATTACAATATAGTAATCGTAATTTTTGATAAATCTTTTTTTTTATAATTGCCAAGTTGTTTTCTCGTTTTACTGCAATGTGTGCTTGTGTTCGATTAAAGCCTGTTACTTTGACACTCCTTGTAAGAAAACCCAATATATTTCAGAATTTAACGCAGAACTTCTAGGCTACAATTAAAATCCAGATCGGTTTTGGCAATCCACTGATGTTTTCTTCATGTAGGTACCTCTTTTTTTCACAGAGTAAAAGAACTGAATCTTTTGTCGAAGTGCACAAATGTTGCAGTTAACCATTTATTTCTTAGGACGACTATCTATGTTTCCCAGGGGTTTCAAATATGCCACCATTTTTATAACCTTCATCTACAATACGTATCACTATATTCTCTGATTTTCCTGAAAGTAAGTTTTAAAAATGTAATACCTATAGGTATTTGGCAAAAAGAATGATATCATATAATAGAATGGAATCGCCAAAATGATCAAATTAATGCTATAATTTTAGTAATATAAAGCACAAACTTTTTATTGGCGTACGTAGGTAAAAATCGTACATTCCTAACAGGTATATTTTTTATTCAGATTAAAATCAATGATAAATTTGATTATACAAAAGTATTGAAAGTTCGGGCCGCACTACAATATAGCCTTCTAACATTTTCAATCTAACCTATAAATGCATAATGTAATCAATACTTCTTTTAGACTTAAATTCATATATTTAGTAAATTTGAAACTTCTGGTAACCAAAACTCAATCAGTAACACGATTACATACCAGCCATAACTGCCGTTGGAGCTTTAACATCCTACAAATATGATAAAATGTGTCCAGCTTCTTGTTCCAATAAACATCACTGAAAAACTTTATAAATAATATCCTGAGCTTCACTCTGATTAATTCTCTTCATTTTTAACACTTTTCGACGGAGTTTATAAGAAGTAGCTTCAGTTTAATCAAAACAAATCAAAAATGCAGAAAATCGAGCTAAAAAATCAAGTCGTTGACAGTCTATGTACTTTGATGCAGTGTTGTCACACTTGTGTCTAATGTTAGTTCCTCAAACATTCTTTTTATGACTTTATAGACAGACTGTACACGTTGGTCTCCGTCGATCGATATCGTTTTTTCAATCGATAAGAATCGGTATGCCGTTTCAAATACAACATGTATTCGATGCAAGTGAAATTATGTCTTCCATCACTAAATTAAGATCGTGACGTCATGATACCTACACAAAATGTGGCACGCTCGGTCTCCATATAAATCGACGAACATTTTCCTTCTAACTAGATTTATTTCTGTGATCACAGGTTATTCAACTAGTGTTCCAAATAATATTTAGCTCTTATTTAAAAACTAATTTACAGAATAAAAACATAATATTTTTTGTGACAACAATTTTAGTTCATCCGGTAAGTTAATATATATCTTTATTGACGTCACTGGTAGAGAATGTTCATGCATTAAGTCCGTTATTTGTGCTATTGTTATGGCCTAACGTGCTATCAGACCAAGAAAGAGCTCGAGATTTTAAATTTTTAGTTACCCATCGAACATTTAGTCTTTGCTAAGTTGCAACCGAACGAGAAGATTAATCACAAAGCTCTCATGAAAAAGTACAAAGCGCCATACGTAATCACAAGCGCAATTTAAAGTTGCTATGATTAACACAAAACTAATTTTCATAATCGTAGTATTTCACAAAATTATTTGAGAACATTAGTTTTTCAAATTAAATAAATAATAGAAACAAAAACATGTGCAGTTCCTGAGTGATGACTTGTGGGGTAAAGGAAAACTATGAACATGAATCTTCAACCACAAACATTCCTGAAATATAAAATAATTCCATGCCTATGATTCACATCACAATAGGATAAACGAATAAATATTAAACAACATCACATACATTGCTCAGATTCCAATCATCATCATCATCAGCCTATTTACGTCCCCTCTGCAGGGGCTCAGGCCTTCCTTATGGATGGTTAAGGAGGATGGGCCATGACCCTCCACGCTGGCCCAACGCGGATTAGAGGGTATTAACGACCGTAAATGCAGCCGGGACCAACGGCTTAACGTGCCTTCCGAGCACGGAGTAGCTCGAGATAATAATTTTTTTGTCACCCATCCCGTGACCGACCCTTGCGAAAGTTGCTTAACAACAACGATCGCGGGCCGCGGCACTTATCCACTACGCCACCGAGCTACAGATTCCAATATGAGTAGCTAAAGCCCCGTATTATGGAGGATCTGAGACAACGAATGTAACACAACACCCAGACCCGAGACAATATAGAAAACTTCATTCGAATTACGTTTAGTAGTAATGCCATTAATAATACCGTTTATACTTTTTATATTCTGCCACCCTGAAGCCACGTTTGGATTACTGTTCCTTTGATTTTTGCAAATGAATCGTTGTGGATATCAACCAAGTGACCAAATCCGTTTATCAGTCTACATAGTTTTAAGTAGTATAGCAACTGGGGTACGAGGTTTCCTTACTGGAACACGCAGTCGGCATTTTTCAAGTATATGATTTCATCATTAAAAATTTTGAATAAAAATGATAAGTCTAATATACCTATCTCCCTTTTTCCAATGGAATGATTTTGAAGCGCCTTAATATTGATCTCGAAATAAGATAGATTTTTTACGTTAATCCCATATCTATAGGCTAAATTTGCCACGAATCTTTTTTGCAATCGGTCCAATCTTAACGAGTGAATGCGATCTCCAACGACTCTACAATATTCGATTATATTTCATATGAGACTTAACATTAATGTCTTTGAACACCTTGGTAATTCGCAAAACGAAACCCAACATTTTGTAGGTTCTTTTAAAGACATTTTAGATATATAGGATAATTCAACATAATCCTCTACATTTCAGATCCTAATTATGATTTCATCGTAGTGGGCGCTGGATCTGCCGGTTCAGTGGTAGCGAATCGTCTCACTGAAATATCAAAATGGAAAGTACTACTCATTGAGGCTGGAGGGAATCCTACATTAGCAACAGAGGTGAGATTATATTTAACTAGATTTCCGCCAGCAGGTTTGCCCGGTATCCGGATCCAAAATCAATTGCGTAGTTTTAAATATTTAAGCACACATACAAACAGACAGACGGAAAACGACTTTGTTTTTTACTATGTATTGAAGTGTTAACATTTTTTAGACCTTTCGAAATTCTAGAAAATTTAATATAAACCGCATTCTTCAGTTTAGTTTTTTTCTAATGTGTATACGATAAATTGACGCGGATTTTTTGATTGTCTCATTTTATCTCATTCATAATTTTGATGATGTCCGGATAAAAACAAATATTTAGTCCGCTAGTCGGATAATATTAGATAAGTAGATTTTTTGCTTCAATTTAAGAAGAAATTACTTACATAATAGGCATTAAAGTTGAGGAGTGGAGGCTCGCTACGGCACAATTACTGTGAAAATATACAAAGGCGTGACGTGTTACAAGTACTTTTAAAAGTCGAAAACTATGTCATCGGTTCGCAAATCTACGGCGGAAGACCTTTTAAGTCAATGTATCGCAGTAATTCGTTAATGACGCTAAAAAAACAATACGTGTTTAATATTCTTTAATAGTATACCTGACGAACACACAAATAAAAAATATTCATCATCTATTATTTATATTATAGGTTTATAATTAGTGTTAAGACAAAAATATAATATTGTTTTCTCTTTCACTTTTGCAGACACCGCAACTATTTTATAATAATATGGGCACATCTGAAGACTGGGGCTATAAAACGGAACCGCAATATGAAGCCTGCAGAGGTTACAAGAATCGAAGATGCGCTTGGCCGAGAGGAAAAACATTAGGTGGTAGCAGCAGCATAAACGCTATGTTTTATGTGAGAGGAAATAAGTATGATTATCAGGAATGGGCTGATCAAGGCAACTATGGTTGGAGCTACGATGACGTGCTACCTTACTTTAAAAAAAGCGAAAATTATTCAGGAGATTCAACAGAAGATACAAGAAAGTATCATGGAAGTAATGGCTATTTACATGTAGAAAATGATGAAAATATGGATAATTTGGAAAAATTAATCTTAAATGCTGTTAATGAATTAGGAATACCAATACTTGATGATGTTAATGCCTATTCGCAAATGGGCGTTTCAAAGTCATGGATGACAATTAAAGAGGGAATGAGGCATAGTACTGCAAGGGCATTCTTGAGTCCCATCAAACACAGACGTAACTTGCATGTTGTTAAAAACGGATATGTTACTAAACTCATATTTATACCTAATACTAACAAAGTAACAGGAGTACTTATAAGCAAAGATGGTAAAGAAGTAATAGTGAATGCTAAAAAAGAAGTAATTGTTTCAGCTGGTGCAATAAATACTCCACAATTACTTCTACTCTCTGGGATCGGACCTTCCAAACAATTAAAATATTTAAACATTAACGTAAAAAGTGATTTACCTGTTGGTCAAAATTTACAAGACCATTTGTTTGTGCCATTTTATTATACTCTACCTGGCATTGGCAATACCACAACTTTAAATAATTTTGCAACAGAATTTGTACGTTATATAACAACAAGAAAAGGTACATTGTCAGATACTAGTCCACATAGAATTATAACTTTCTATAATACTACTGATAATAGATCTAGCAACCCGGATGTGCAATTTCACTATCTTGTATTTCCACCAAGTTTATATAATGTAATTGATATTTTAAAACATCACGATCTCAGTGAAGAGATACAAGAAAAGTATCGCAAGATAAATGACGTCAATTTCATAATAGTTGTATACTGCACTGTGTTACAGCCTAAATCCAAAGGGAAAGTTATTTTAAAAAGTAAAGATCCTTATGAATATCCCCTAATTTACGCAAATTATTTTGATGATCCTGAGGACATGACGACGCTTATAAATGGATTTAAGCAACACGTTGCAAAGTTAGGTGAAACTAATACTTTAAAGAATTCTGGTTTTAAACTAGAATGGTTAGACATAGACGAGTGTAAAGAATATAAAAAAGGTAGCTATGAACATTTAGAATGTTACTGTAGACAAATGACTTTCTCATTATATCATCCTGTAAGTACTGCAAGAATGGGACCAATTGATGATAAAAATTCTGTTGTTGATCCAGATTTAAGAGTGAAAAATATTAAAAACCTTAGAGTTATCGACGCCAGTATAATGCCAAACATAGTGAGAGGCAATACGAATGCTCCCACTATAATGATAGGTGAAAAGGGAGCAGATTTAATCAAAGAGTTTTGGCTGCCCAGTCAATATCTTTATGAATTACCACGTAGTGAATTTTAGTTTAATTTATTTAAGAAAACTTGTATGTGCTTCCTATTAATAAATTTAAATAAAAAAGTAATAATAATCCTCGTTCTTGTTACTATATGATTATTAATGTACATATTTATTTTTCTATTGTCATGAAAACAAAATGCTCACATCTCCGGAACACAAACGTGTTTGAAACACGTCCATAGAAGGTTGTCATCATTTGAAGTAAGAATTTACAGTATGAGAATACAATAAACCAACTGAAGGTATAATAATAAGGACTGGAAGGAAAGAGATTAAAGACATAATTACTATTAAAAAGGTCAGTATATATTTAACTGTTAAAATTAAATCTAGAAAGAATAGTTACTTTTTAATTGTAGTATTCTATGAGCCTAGTAATAGGCTATCTATAACGTAATATTTTTTATTGTTCGACTTCTTATACATGTCTATGTCTATTTAATATGCAGTGAATATGGACACGTTGGTATCAAACATAACAGCTACCTGTCCATTAGCATTTTCGGGTAGTACAGGATACCTATTTGCAAGTGCAATAGCAGCAGTGGTTGCAGCGCATTGTGCTATTTTTGATGGTGATCAATGGCCAGAAGACAATGCCCCACAAATTATAAACACAGGTTAGTTGAAGTTTTTATTAAGTTAGTCATTCTTTTTAAAGGAAACATTTTTATTTTGATGTAATGGTTTTTTCATTAATGAAACTTATTTGTTTGATTATTAATTAAATTTCATGATTAAAAAACATATAAGTAGTAAATATTTGTCACCGTAATCACATTATTTAGTACTTTTTTAGATTTAGTGACATCAAACAGTCATACATTAAGCTTTACTTAATGAAAATAATGTTATCAGATGGATAACCCACACCAATTTCATCGAAATTAAATATTAAAACCAATAGTTTAATAACCGTTAATTCCAAGACGTATTAAATATGAGAACATCAATCGCCATTTTCTTAAATATTTTAAAATTTAATATACGTTTGATTTTTATGTATACCTATTTTTCTGATATATATATTTTTTGTCCATCATTCTTTTTCATCACAGACCAGTAAATATTTATTTATTTTGATAGGTGCGCTGACCGGTTATAATCAATATTCTAGTATAAAATTAACTGTGTGTTGTAAAATTAACTGAAGCGGAGGTTACCCAATTTTCGCAAGAACCAACCAAAAATTTATTACTGGGTCTGCGTAATGCATTGTGAACCATTATTCGATAAGATTCCCACCATAGTGAAGGCCTTAGCCCCTGTAGTGGGGACATTACTTAGCTGAAAATGGTGACGTCTGGATATGCATACCGCGTTTCGTATTCCTGTTACTTTATTTATGCTAACTGCTAACATTGCTCAAGTACATATAGGGGTTACGCTAAATAGCCACCTGCAAAGTACTAGCCTCTCATGTTCTGTTATCAACCATCACCAGAGCTATTATTGTTCATACGAAATTAAAATCATTGAACTTCAAATAAAAATAATTGACATTAAATGCATACGTATTTTATAAATATGTTATTTGTTTGTTTTAGGACCAAAGTCATACGATTTCATTATAGTAGGCGCAGGCACAGCAGGCTCGGCTCTCGCTGGACGATTAGCAAGTCTCGATTCAAAGCTGACTGTGCTACTTATCGAAGCCGGTGACAATCCTTCGCTTAACAGTGAGGTACTTAAATAAAATCATGTAAACATACCCATATAATGCCGTGACAGATATAAATATGTGTATTACTATTACTACTCATTTATATGATTTAGATTCCCTCGATGATATTTTTTACAGATCCCAGCATTCTTTATTTACAATCATGATATAGACTGGAAATATGAAACGATATCTCATGGGGCTTGCTTAGGATTCAAAAATAACAAATGCATCTGGAACAAGGGAAGAACAATGGGAGGATCAAGTTCTTTTAACGCTATGTTGTATGTTAGAGGCCACCCAAGAGATTATCAACAATGGGAAGACATGGGTAATGTAGGGTGGGGCTATGATGACCTTCTGCCATTTTTTAAAATGATAGAGGAAAGATTGAATATGTCGTCCTATGTATACAATGATAATCCTTGGTATACTCTTCTCGAAGAATCATACAATGAATTTGGAATTAAATTTGATAAATCAGACAACAACGAAGGTGTAATTGGAACAAGAATCACCAAATTGTTAACTCAAAAAGGAAAACGACTAAATACAGGTAAACATTATTTGAGACAAACGAAAAATTTGTACGTGATGAAGAACTGTTTAGTTGAAAGAGTTATCGTTGATCACAAATCTAAAATAGCTACTGCAGTTGTGGTGCGACATAAAAGCGACATTATTATGGAAATAAAAGCTAACAAAGAAGTTATACTATCAGCTGGGTCAATCGCGACACCTCAAATTTTAATGTTATCAGGTATCGGTCCCAAAAGACACCTTAATGACATAGGAATAGAGTGTTTGCTTGATCTTCCAGTGGGTAAAAACCTGCAAGACCACGTTATATTTCCGTTGTTCTATAAAACTAGACAAGGAACGCAAATTTCTTATGAGAAAATTTTGTTATCATTGTTACAATATATGCTGACTAAAACTGGACCACTGTCCCATATAGGATTAACAGATTTCATGGCTTTCATAGATACTAAAAATGCATCTCAATATCCTGACATTCAATATCATCACTTATCTTTTACTAAAAACGATAAGATCGCTATGCGTTCTTACCTCGAAACTTACCAATTCAGAGACGAAATTATAGAAATTATTCAACAATTGAATCAAGATGGAGATTTACTCGGTATTTACCCCACGTTGTTGCATCCAAAATCAAGAGGTGAAATTTGGCTAAGCGGTCCAAATATCACATCAAGACCTATTATAATAACGAATTACTTTGACGATCCTGATGATATGAAGACACTCTTGCGAGCGATAGACTTTGCACGGAAATTAGAGAAAAGTGAACGTTTTCAGTCACTCAAATTTGAATTAACGCCTTTGAGATTGTGGGGGTGTACAGAATTACCCCTTTTCACGGAAGAATATTGGGAATGCTATATACGTCATATAGCAACTACGGTTTACCATCCTGTTGGTACAGCTAAAATGGGTACCGAAGAAGATAGAACAGCTGTCGTTGGTAATAATCTCTTAGTACATGGTATGCAAAATCTTAGGGTTGTGGATGCGAGTATTATGCCAATCATACCAGGAGGCAATACAATGGCACCCACTCTCGTGATAGCCGAGAAAGCTTTCGACATAATCAAGAAAAAATATGCGTTAAAAGATGAATTATAATCTTTTTATGTTGAAATATATGTTTATGACACACTGTTTAGTTTTATTAGCAGGATAAGATAGACAATTAATAGTTAAAGGGTAAAATTTAGTTCTAGAAGTGAATATACATGAAGGTTAAATTAAATTAGCCTAAGAAATATATATTTGCCTAAAGTAATTTAAATCTAGAGATGACATAAAAAAAAACAAATTTCATTTACTTTTTTCACTGGTGTGATAATGATAAGGCAATAATCTAGAACATAATAAAGTTTTATTATCGAATAGACTTTTATGATTGATTGATATTCAATAGACAAAAGTGTAAAACACATGATACTTGTGTTTGTATAATATATCCTATACTAATTTAATGTTTTTTTTTTATTTTATTGAGGAAATTCAGTTTCAACAAAATACATGAACAAAAAACATAACAACATATAAATCTACAGTTTCCTACATACACATTTACAAATCTAATTTACCTAATCTAGCCCTAAGTTCTGTTACAAAGAAAATATCCGACAATTTCCCAAAAAAAATTTTTTTCAACTTTTATATATGTGATTATGTCGAGTGAAAAAGATATGTTAACGTTCTAAACTAGTCATTCAAAGTGTCCACCCTTAGCTTTAACGCACGTCCATCGACGAGTGGCCCGACCGTTTTTAAACTCGTCGATGGATTTACGAACTTCCATTTCCATTGGAAAATTGGTCAATGCTGCCTCCAAAGATTTCTTGAGTGACTTAATATTTGGGTGACGCTTAGAGCAAGCCATGTCGTCTAGCACAGACCACAATATATATAATCCATTAAGTCCGGTATAGCCGAAGGCCAATCATCAGCCTTTATGAAGTCTGGAACATTTAGCTCAAGTCAAATTTGGGTAGTGCGCGCCTTACGACCAGGGGTTGAATCCTGTTGGAATGTCCACACTTCATTTTTAAATAAGATGTTGTTGGATGCGAGGTTTAGCTACCGCTTCTAACACGGTATCTTGCTACACTTTGGCTGAAGTTTTCACTCCTTTTTCGTAAAAAAGTAGACCCCACCCCACCAAACCATAACGTATGCTGGATGATGGCGTTGCTGAACTTCGGCCACTACCTCGAAAGCTTTTTTAGAGCTGTATGCATACACTCGATCATTTTGTTTCTTGTAGTGCTCCTTCATTGTAAAATTTTTTTCATCGGTAAACAGATTTTGTCTGTGTTTTTCGTCCGCGTATCGAAGTAACAGCTGTTTTGATCGTTCGACTCTCTTTTGTTTTAGTGCCTGGTTTGAGGTATGTCTTGTGTATCTCTGGTAAGCCCCTAGACCTTAAGTCTTGTTTGATAATCCGAGAAAGTGTCCTCGATGGGATCCTCCTTTCTCTGGAAAGGATTTTCTACTTCCTTATGGGATTTCGACGAATTCTGGCCTTGATTGCATTAACGGCCTGGTTTGTAGGAATCCACCTCTCACGGTCATTCAGTGTACCTTTGGATGGTACGATACACAAACATTCGGCTAATTCCTAGCTCTCTCAAAGTATCAAAAATGACAGCTGACTCCTTACCTAAGTACCTTGTACAGTGCAATTACTGCAATTCTATTCTCTTCAGTGACCCACAAAATTTTCAAAACAAATAATTTCTAAACAAAAAACATACGGTAAAAAAGTTTTTTTTTACCGTAGAAGCTAATGTTCGAAATTCAAATGAATGTTTTTTAATTGTATGTAAACAAACAAATGTATGTAAATAGAATTTATGGCTAGACTAGGTATAGAAACGGTGAAAAATACTTCGATGGCGAGGCGCCAATATCCATCCACCAGCAGCATTACCAGACATCCTTCTGGTATTCCGAGAAAAAAAAAATCAAAATAAAAAAGGATAACATAAAAAGCAAACACAAAGAAAAGAAAACATCATTTAGCCATATTGTTACATAGTAATAAGCATTAGTAATAGTACGATGGTTAAATGTTAATAAGTCGCAACTTTCGTATGAGAGGTCGGAGGTTTTTGGTACTCGTATTATTACTCGTAGTCTATTCAAATATTATAAAGAGGTAAACAGATAACTTTTAATTTTTGTTTGTTTGTATGGGGTAATCTTAGGAAATACTGATTTGATCATGAAAATTCTTTTACTTCGGGAAACTAAATCATACGCGGATGACAAAACACCTAGTGAATATATATCTGCTGCGAGAGAAACCTCAACGAGTCCAGACAATGAAAAACAATTCATTTCGATGTGATTTTCAACCCAAAATGTTTTGACCTTGTCGCTTTGGTCGGTTGCCGCTTGGTGTCAAATATTTTATACATACCTGTGTGTAACAAACTTTTTACATAATTTTATACATAAATTCTAAAATATATCAAGAAACAAATACATTTTTGTTAAGAGTGCGTAAACCGGAATATAATTAGAGAAAATGGAAGGGGCTTATTCATGAGACGGATACTTATTATCCCTTTTTCTCTAATAAGGGCGTCATCATCATCATCATCATCATCATCATCATCATCATCATCATCATCAACCCTTTTACGTCCCCACTGCAGGGGCTCAGGCCTTTCATAAGAATGGTTAAGGAGGATGGGCCATGACCCTCCATGCTGGCCCAAAACGGATTGAAGGGTATTAACAACTGCAAATGCAGCCGGAACCAATGGTTTAACATGCCTCCTGAAGCACGGAGTACCTCTAGATAATAATTTTTTGGTCACCCATCCCGTGACGGACCCTTGCGAAAGTTGCTTAACGACAACGATCGCGGGCCGCGAAGCTTATCCACTACGCCATCGAGGTACTTCCTTCGAGCTAATATTAGTAATTTGTGTTTAGCGTCCTTAAAAAGAAGTGTTGCAATACACTGCGTTTGATACAAGCACAAGGTAGTAACAACATTAATGCTACACAAAAGAATCACTGTGATGACCTTTAAGTTAATGATTTAAATTACACAATGTCCTATATGCTGATTTAGAGTTAAAATTTAAAATTATTTCAATAAAGACAAAAAATCTAATTTGTTCCCTATAAATAAATTAATTACCTACAGAAAATATCCGCCCGACTTTAATAGAATTTTCTTGAATAAGTTGCTTTTGAGATAAGTATTACTTTTAGTTTTTTTAAGTTTGGAGTCAGTTCTCTTTTTAAGATTTTTTTAATCAAAACATAATATTATTGTTATAAAATCATTTATTCAGTCTAGACTATTACAGGCAACTCTGAAAGTCAGCAAGAGCTGCTATTTTATTTCATGGAGAGACGTTGAATTGTAAAATGACTATTATTACACTATGACTCACTTCACTGTCACGTTTCAAAATAATAAAAAAAGTCAACAAAAAAGATTATATTTAGGTATAATTATCTATGTAAGGTTAGTTCTACATAACTTATTATACTATTAAGGGCCTTTGGTGTCAAATGTCGCGACGTTGTCTTGTGTCATAGAAGACGTGTCAGGGGCAACCTTCGGTGTGGCAACATGAACATGTCATTGATATGCAGTTCTGCCACATGCCGTCCTGAATAAGACCTGCACGGTCGTAGTTCTGTTTAATTACCCGACTACGGCAAATCAAAAATAAGAGTAATGATTTTAAACAGTAAACATTGAATGTCATTGTAAACGATCAAGTAGAACTACTTGATCGTTTGACATTTAGTAAACAAAAGCGTAAATCAGATGGTAGTTTCTTTAATGTTATTTTTTGTAAATTTAATGTATTTTAAAGCATTATTATAAATTATATCTTTTCCATTTCTTTTCCATATAAACTGTACAGTAAACAAAGATATTAATATAGTCTTAGGTGCCTTATTTCATACTCCTCGGCAAGCGCAATTTTCACATATAAAAAGTTAGCTTCACGTACTGATATTTAGATAATCATCATCTTTACATAAATACTAACGTCACGTTTTGTCTATATATGTCACTTGCTATTTTCCTGCGACTTCCCACGCGTAAATTATAGTCTATATTAACTATTAAAAAATGGACCGTTTCTTTTACTTGTAGCTACATCATACGTGGGTGACGATGATGTTGCTACGAGGGTCAAACTGAAAGTTCTTAGAAAATCAAAAACTGATTACATTAGCCAGTTATTAGTTTTATTATATCTTTTCAAAATATTGTCCATTCACGTCAATACACCGCTGCATGCGATGGAACCACTGGGAAAAGCACTTTGCCCACTCGTCCTTAGGGGTCTCTTCAATGGCATCGCGATACGCAGCCACCGCTTCTTCAGCATTCATAAACCGCTTTCCTTTAAGTTTTTCTTTAATTTTTGGAAATAAATAAAAATCACAAGGCGCGAGGTCGGGGCTATACGGCGGGTGACCCAGTAATTCAACGTTTGATGTCGCCAAATAGTCGATCGTTCGCTTGGCGGTGTGCGACGAGGCGTTGTCGTGGTGAAGGAGGATCCTACTGCGAGGTCGTTTCTCTCGAACTTTTTCCAAGACAAGTGGCAAACAATTGGTAGTGTACCATTCTGCAGAAACTGTTTTTTGATCCTCTAACACAATTGTTGCAAAATGACCTATCCTTCCAAAGAACGAGGCCACCATTTTTTTTCCCGCACTTCGATCTCTCTTCACTTTAGTTGGCAACTCCTCGAAAGGAAACACCCACTGAGCAGATTGTCTTTTGGTTTTAGGATCATAACAGTAAATCCAGCTTTCGTCACCTGTTAGTATGTCGAACACAGCATTTGAGTCACCTCCGTTAAATCTTTCAATCATTTTACGACACCAATCCACACGATGGAGTTTTTGAGCCTCAGTCAAATTATGAGGTATCCACCGGGCGCAAAGCTTCCTGACCGCTAAATGTTCGTGGAGGATTTTGTGCACTTGACTCATACCGATGCCTAAGCTTGTCCGAATCTGTTGATAGGTCACTCTTTTGTCAGTCTCTATCATACGCCGCACAACACAGATGTTATCTTCAGTCGTCGCCGTAGAAGGCCGTCCCTCACGTAAATCATCAGTGA